TATTTTGTAGCTAACTGAAGTACATCATAAAATAAATCTAATCTTTATATATAAAATTACAAAGACAAATATATAGAATTAAAAAGGTTAAAAATTAGTTATACTATGCAAAAAGAATGAATAATAAATCAGTTTTTTTATTATAAAAAAATATTTGGTTATTTAAAAAACATCTAACAAAGTTTTAAACAAACATATTTATTTTCAATCAGTAACCATCCAAATCAAAATGGTTGTTTTCATATTCATACAATTCAGATAAGAGAAACAACTAATTATATTTCAAGTATATTATTTTGTATTTACAAAGAATTGGTTGATTTTGTCAAACATAAATAATAATTTATTAGGTAATCAAATTGTTTGTCTTTAAATCTAGAGAAATTTAAAAAATTGCCACTTTTCAAGTGCCACTTTACAAAAATACCACACTTTTGAAATCTTTACAAAAATGCCACTTTTTCAAAATTATTTTTTCTTTATATTATTTATGTTTGGGTTAATTATGTTCTATTAGAGTTTAGTTTTGAGTGTTTAGGGGGTTTTAGGTGTCAAAACATTTTTTTAGGGTTAAGAATTTTAAGATATAGGCTTTATAAATCTATAATTAGTGGTATTTTTGTAAATAGACACCTCTAAGTGGCATTCTTGCAAATGTGCACACAAAAAGTGGCATCTTTGTAATTGCCCTTAAATCTAATAAATTTTTAAAGCCAATAATAAACTACACATATAACTTCCGACTTTTATTGGAGATTTTTTTCAGATTTAGTGTATCAGACTTAAACCTAAAGTGCCTGAAACTTATTAGCACATTGACAATTACGGAAACCCAAAAGTTGAAACAGACTTATATTTCTTTCTTTACTTGTTCAACAAGTCGAGACACAAAACCAACTGAAAAGATATTTAAATAGAGAGGGAATCTGGAAGTTTAGACCAATCTTCATGTTGTCTTGTGGTTGGCCAATCTTGTTGTCTTGTGGTTGGTATTGGCAATGGCAATGGAACATCAAGTCGTTGTGTAATGAAAGGATGGTTCAAGAGCTCAGTCACGGTCGGCCTAAGAGGATAGTCCATGTTGTCATTCGTGGCGCGTGAAGGATGCAGTCCATGGCACCGGTTCAAAAAGTCTTCAGCCACAGGAGATATTGCTTCGAACAACCTCCTGAGGCCATGGTACAGGACAAGTTTGTTGGGGCGAACAGATTGATCAGACCAGCTCGTGATATATGGTCTCTAGGGCGTTTGGTTCTTAAGATGTTTGGTGGTATTCCTGTGGAAATGAAAGATTCAAACACGTGGAGGCTATACAAAGATATCTCTCCAACGGCCACAGACTTCGTGAGGCGGTGCTTGGCGTGGCGGCGGACAGATGAGCCACTGTGGGAGAGCTCTCGGACCATTCTTTTTGTTGCTGAGAAACTTCCATTGTATCTTTGTTTTTAAGGTTTCCTTCTTTCATAAGGAAGAGAATCATGGAACAATTGTATCAAAGACCTGAAGAATTGATACCAAAACCTCAAGGCCTGATCTGGTGAGATGGTAAATAAAACTGATACACCCGAGGCTTTGCAGATTTGTACTCCACCTTAAACTTAAGTAGATTTGCACTAAACAGCTTTTGAGATTCACAGAGATTTAAATATAATCTGAACCACCAAACATAATAAGTAAATCAAAACTCTTGAATGATAAAACTACATATGCAGGCTTCAGACACGCGGTGCAGCTGCAGCTCCAGGTCCTGCAGGACGAGGAGCCTGTCCAGGTTGTCCAGGCTTGGGAGCATCCTCCTGGTGGTCATATTAAAAATTCATTCAGCAAAATCTTACAGAAATTTTCCAAACACCAACACAAGATATAACAGAATAGACTCATCGAAAGCAGTTCTGTTAAGAATTCAATGAAAAAAAGCATGCCTCATCCACCTCGATAGTCTACTTTTTGAGGCCATAAAGACTACTTAAAAACAACTATTATAGTTCAAAAGGTAATAATAACATGAATGAATCTTAAGCATATCAAACCCACAACTACAACATTTGGTTTCTACAAGATTAAAGTATACTATGTACAAGTCCAAGGAACCAGTTTTACTTCAAACTATCTTCATATTCAACAGAGAAAATAARTTGCATCACATAATCCAAAWRAARMAAAAAAAAATAGAACTCTTTTAGAAGGAAACTAGTATCCTATAGTTACAGAACATAAAACCAGGAACATTTGAGTTGAGTGAGGCATTATTACCTTGCGTCTAGCAAAACGTGGAGGTGGAGTACGAACCCTACGGTTGGTGCGGGATCGGACTCTAACAACGTGAGAATGGATAGCACATGAGACACAGTATTGCATCTTCGCATATAGCTTCGGTAGTGTGTACCCTATACGAT